TGCTCCATAAAACTAGAGACTGACTGCCTTCATACAGCATCCAGAGCAGAGGGGCCTAGATGAGGATTTATTGAGGCCAGGGACATAGCTCAATGGTAGAGTGCATCCCTGACAGTCACAAGACCCTGGGTTCAAGTTCAATCCCCAGTTCAACCAAAAGAACAAGGAGAAGGAAGGGAAGGAGTGGAAAGCAGAGATAACTTATTAAATCATATGTGTAGGTACTTATGGACAGGAATGAACAAGATAACCGGTCTTCTGGCAGCTTAAGATGGGGAGTCCCTCCGAGATGAGGGCCACAGCTGATGGGGTGTACTGTAGTACAGGACAGGTAAGAGATCAGACAAAAAATGGCACGGCCATTCTTGTCTGAGGGAGAGAAGATGAAAGGATAGGGAAAGGCATTGTAGGCTAAGATCCAGCTAAAGGACCAAGGAGGGCCGGTGCCTTCGGGAAACCCTTAAGCCTGTGTAGGTGCTAGCCTACGCTAAGCCTGTGTAGGCGCTAGCCTAGGCTAAGCCTGTGTAGGAGCTAGCCTATGCTAAGCCTGTGTAGGAGCTAGCCTAGGCTAAGCCTGTGTAGGTGCTAACAGGTGTGGGGAGAAGAGCGAGGAGGCACTGGAGAAGCGCCCTGGGCAGATCTCCTTCTGTCTGTGTTATTACACTTCCATCATCCCCGGAAACCTCACCTAAAGTTAGGATTCCAGAGCACTTGTGACTAAACGGATGTCTCCGATCGTTACAATTCCCCTTAGAAAGTTTTATTGCCCTTGTTTTATAGGTAAGGGAACTCTAGTTCCAAAGTGCCACGGTCACCCTTGGCAAGCCAGGTTCACACTGAGTAACTGGGTGTGAACATGCTTGCCGCAGGACAGCTGACAGGAGCACTGCTGCTTCCGTCTGACGGCTCCTACGCTGCCCTTTGTCCCCTTGGTTCCCTCTGCCCTCCATCACCCCTGCCTGTGCTGGGGATTGAGTCCAGGCCCTATGCATGCTAGACAAATACCCCACCACCCCGCCACACACCCCGGCCCCAGTCTAGCTGCTGGGAAGTGATCTTCACAAGATTAGACTTTGTTCCTTTATGGTCCCTGCCTATGAATGTGCGCGTGCGCGTGCACACAGACACACAGACACACACACACAAACACACACACACACTTTGCCACCTCCAGGCCACTCCTTAGCTCACTTAGTGAACAAGTCAGTAACGTATAAGAAGCTGCCATGGGCCGGACGGTGGTGGTGCATGCCTTTAATCCCAGCACTCAGGAGGCAGAGGCAGGCAGATCTCTGTGAGTTCGAGGCCAGCCTGGTCTACAGAGTGAGTTCCAGGAAAGGCACGAAGCTACACAGAGAAACCCTGTCTAAAGAGACAAAAAAAAAAAAAAAAAAAAAGAAGCTGCCATGGTTACAGAGTACTTTTCCCAACAACCCTGTGGGGACAGCAGGCCAAGGGCCTTGAATTCCCCTTTTACAAATGAGAAACCAGGCTCAGAAAGGTTAAGTCACTAACCCAAGGTCATCCAGCTGGGAAAGGCAGAATATGAATTGTAGGCTTCCGCTGCTGTCTGTGGTGTGGGTATGAAGCCTGGGCAGCCCCTGGAGCAGGTCTACTACACACCCAGGGCACAGCGCTCTACAGCACCTCCCAGACCTGGAGGTAGATGTGGCCTGTTCCAGGGCCAGGATACTTTCTACACCACACAAGAGGCCACTGATGTGCTATGGTTGGGAGTTAGGTGTGACTCCTGTTTAAGCAATCACATCAGCCCCGTATCTGTTGCCTCTTGGGGCGTTGCTGGCACATCCCTCTACACAGCAGACTCCACGGGCACTCTGGATGAGCCCTGAGCCAAATGTCCTATCTTCCATTCCCTCAGCCAGGACCAGCAGTTCCTCCCTAGGCAGCCTTGAAGCCCACTTCTGCGTCACCTCCTTGTTGGGCTCCCAGACTTCAGCTCCTGAAGTTACTGACGCCTTGTAACTGGAACAGCCATTAAGCCTCCTTGAGAAGAATTGGGGATAATAGAAGAAAGTGCGTAATGGGGTATTGGGAGGATTAAGTAGGTTAATCCCTGTAAAGCTCTCAGTTGGTTTTGGATACAAAAACACTCAAGCTGTTAGATTTTATTTTTAAGGGCCTCAAAATGTGCCCCATGCTAGCCTTGAACTTATGACCCTCCTATCTCAGCATTACCCTCAAATCCAAGCTCCTGGGCTATCGTGACTTCTCTCCAGGTTTCTGTACTCCATTAGAAATGAACTCTGGGGACAAACACTCCATTGCCTTTGTCTTTACGTCCACCACCACAGCCCAGGCCTGGCCCACAAAGAATGCGAGCCGAGAAGTGAATGAACAAATGGCTGATTATAAAGCCGGGGGAGGGCCCAGGAAAGGCGCTGGACAGTGTGTCAGGGAGGCCTGGCCTAACGAGCCTGATCTGCCATGCACTGGGTGATGACTGTTGAGAAAAATCTCTTCCCTGGGCAACTTGGATTTCAAAACTGTGAAATGAGAGTGACGGTATCCCACTCGAGGAAACTAGTGAGGCTCATATAAAGCAACAGCCATGGAATCATCCTATGGCCCACTCACATAAAAAAAAAAAAAAGCATGACTACTGAGCCACACTGTCATGTGGCTAGGGCCCTCGCTACCTGACAGTGTGAGAATAGCAGGGTTGCTGGCAGGCAGGTCCTGAGAAATATGTCACTGGCTTTTCTCCTGGTTGCTTTGGATTTATTTTCCTGTCTGTGCCAGAGGCCACACTGAGGCTCATCCATATCCATTTGAGCCTCCTAGGTAGGAGATGGGGTCACTTCCAGAAGGTGTAGCAACCCAGGGCTCTAGAGGCCATGCTAGTGTCAGAAGAAGTAAGAAGTACTCTGAACTCCTCCAGAGCTCCATTGAGGAAGAGGCTAGGCATGGCCAGGAGCTGAAAGCAGGAGGCCACAGACAGGCCAGCTGCTCTCCACCCAGCCTCCTGCCACACACCCCGCCCCTTCTGAGGGACTTCTTGCTGGCCAAGTGCATGCTAAAACTCCAGGGATGGCCAGGATGATGAGGTCTATCCGCCTTTAGGCTTGAGCAGCTCAGGCTAAGCCGGGCTGAGCTGTTGATTCCTCTAAGTAGCTCACAGGAGAGGAGCAGAGATGCAAGGGTTGGGGGGAGGAGGACTGAGGGTGGAAAGGAGACCAGTTCTACAGGGGCCCTCCATCCCTGGCCCTGGCCCCCATGGGGCCAGAGGAGCTGGAATAGGTGCTGGTAGGCTTCCCTTCAGACTGTTGGGCCTGAGGTTTGTAGCTGGTCACCCACATAGTCCACCAGGAAAGACTGAGACACAAAGGCTCTTGGATGTGCTGGGTTTGCACAGGCCAAGGCTTCCACCCTGCAATTGCATGCCAAATACTGCTGTGCTCGTCCTAAAGATAGTTTTCTGGGTCCAGCAGCAGAGTGAAGGACAGTTCAGAGTGTACGCCCATGCAGGTAGGAAGGAGCTTTGCTACTAAACTAAGAGAATGTCTCTTCCATGATTCTCCCTTGCCCAGGGGGATTCTAGGGCAGCGTGGATGTAATTCACAAATCAATGTGCCTTATAACAGCAGAGAATAAGAATTGCTGCTGAGACTGTGCTCTTCAGATCCCCAAATGGAAAGTGATGTTGGGGTGGGGGCTGGGGGGTTCAGGGTCAGGAGAGCCAGATCATCCAAGTGAGGAAAACTCCAGCAATGACTGATGTCACTCTGACATCTGCGAATCTCAAGCTGCTGTCAGCTGAAAAGTGAAAGTATGTTGCTCAGAATGTTCTAGAGACTCTTGCAGCTCCAAGTGCTGCTCCAGCATGTCTACTTTAGAACAAAGACCGTGTGAGTCATTAAAATCCTTATAAGCATTCTTAGAGCCCAGAAATGGCCTGTCAAAAGTCCTAACAGTACAAGAATAACACTTAGTCCTTAGCTCTGCCATACTCAACGGGACATGAAGCTGAGGGGTCCTGGGGAGAGACTTTTCTAACTCCCTGATGTTGAGTCATTTTCCAGAAATGGGGCTAGGCCAGTTTTCCTGTCTAAGGACATGCCCATCCCACTTACATAAGAAGTATTGTTTATTCTTCAGGACTCAAGAGGCCAACTCCTCCACAGGGTGGGGCTCAGGAGATCAGGAAGCTGCAGGCCTCAACATCGGTGTCTTACCGAAGTTCACACAGTGGAGGGGGCCCCACCTAACGTCTGGGGTTCTGGGGTGCCGCTGGTGTCTGCACTCTCTCAGTCTGTGTGTTTTCGTTTTGTTCTCTTCTGTTTTTGGGGAGATTTAACTTGGAGCTTCTCCACTGAGCTCCATCCCCAGACTATCTTTAACTACAACACCTCTACCCTCATCCACATTTCCCTGTGGTGGAACTAGGAAGCCAGGGCCTCCCAGTCTCAGGACTACCATCGTTTACAACTGGAATGCCTTTCCCAAATATTGTGTGCAAACAGTTAAAGAAATGAAAGTGATGTGCCACGATGTTCTATCATTCATTCTGCACAGTGGTTTAATCAGGGCATGTATGCCTGTGGGGACAGGAAGCTCGGGTAGCCCTTTGTGACAGGAGCTTTGATTACCAGTCTACTGAGGCCACTGATTCGGGACATTTGGGCTGTTTCTAGTTTGTCTCTGTTAGAAATCACCCTGCAGAGGATCTGGGGATCCTTTCCCAGTTATCCACTTAGGAGAGACTCCGAATGTAATCTCCAGTTGAAGAGCCCAGCCAGCTAAAGTGCTCGGTTCCAGTCAGGCCAGCCTCCACCAGAAGCACCGGCTTGGGCAGAGCTCTGATTCCTTCGTCCCATGCCACTCCTTCCTGAAGCTAGCTACCCCCGAGGACAACCTGAGCGGCTCCTCGGTCCCTGTCTGCAGTGGTTCCCTCCCCAACAGGACAGGAACGCAGCAACACAGCGAGCCCTAAATGACCTCCGATGGAGCCCGGGGCAGCCCGTCTCACCTCTGCTTACCTGAAACACATCTCCATTGACTGTAGTCCCCATGTCCTCGGAACCAGCTGCAAAGAGCAAGGAGACAGGATCATTCATGGTCCAGCTGACAAGCACAGGGTGCCCTATGGTGGCCCCTGGCCAGCCTGTGCATACGCCTGTGGGTATACGGACACCCTCCCCCACAAACATAATGGATATGTAAACAGCGGAGACCCAGACCCTGACTGCTTCCTGTGCACCCACCGTCATACTTAATGTTTACTACAGCCCTATGTTTAAACTCAGTGACCCATTTTACAGATTCTCAAGTGGAGGCTCAGAAAGCCTATTGTGATTGCTCAAGATTACCTAGCCAGGGCACTGTTCCTTACCTACCCGAAGTCAGCTGTGGAGCTGGGACCTGGTAAGTAGACAGGGGGTACTGCAGGCTTAGGGAGAGGCCACCAGGGATGCGGAAGAGAAGGGTCTGTGTCTCTGCATGTCCTGGTGGAACCTTGAGCAACCGCTCTGCCTGGGAGAGCAGGACTCACAGCTCCCCCTGGGCACACTTGGCCTATTTTCCTCTCTGTGCCCCTCCCAGGGCTTCATTTTGCCTTCGCAGTGACTCCTCCCAACCGCTCTGCCCAGCATCTAGTTAGTCACAAATTACCTGGAGCTCCTGCTGCAACAGTGACCCTCGAAGTGGCCTGCCCTCTCACTCCTGGACCAGGCCAGCCTGTGCCCTCACCAGCTCATCCCTACACCTGCTTTGGTTGCTCTGTCCTGCTAGTGGCCAACACCTAGAGGAGCTCCATGGCGTCTTCTTCAGAGCCATGCCCATGCAGGGGACCTGGGCCTCTGTACAAGTTGTCACTAGATGCTGAATAAACAAATGAATTCTTTTTTTCTTTTTTAAATGGTGTGAAACTTATTTAATGCATATTTTCCCCCAGCTAAGGGCTCCTGCATAGAGTGGGCGAACAGAGACATTTGGCCAACTGAGAGCTGAACTGCTCTTTGGGGCTCATTGTAATTGGTAAGGCTTTCTCTGAAAACTGTCATGCTTCCTAGCTGTGAGCCGAAGCAGGCCTTATGTAGTCACCACAGGAGGACAGGGCTGTGAAGAACAACAGTGCTTCCGGCCTGAGCCTGGAAGGACTGAAGGGGGGTACTCAACCTAAAGTCAGTCATCTGCCACTGATATCAGTTAGAACTTATTTACAGAGTCTAGCCGTGATTAATCCAGATTTCTAGGACAGCTCTCCCCTCGCCCACTCAGGGTTTCTACTGTACAGGAGGCCTGCTCTCTAAATGAGGGTGAGCCCAAAAGGGGATGAGTGGCGGTAGCCTCCTCAGGGGGACTTCTGGGCAACTAACTTCTCTACCTAGCCTTACTTGCCAGGGTCCCTCCTGATGCTGTGTGCCTGTGGGAACAGCCTTTAGAGAAGTTGCACTACCTCTCTTGGCAAGGCCACATGAGTTTCCTGGTGCCCACCTTGGCCTCCAGAAAGATGGAGCATGGTCAGCCTCTTTGGGACCACACACACACCCACTCACAGAATCACCAGAGTCTAATCCACAGAGTTCTCTGGCTCTTACACATTTATGGTCAGGAGTCTACAACAGAGCCCACAGAACAAATACAGCAATGCAAGCCCCAAGGATAAGCTGTTCCCTGTGGGGCCTCCTCAGATGCCTGGCCCGTTTGGGAGTCCAGAACATTCCCGTGACCTTCTGAGGCCCAGCAGGGGCAACAGGATTACACAGAGCTGGCCCATAAGTCAGTCAGGCTAAGAGCCCAGAGAACTGGGTGTGAAAGTGTAGACCATTTGGGCCCTACCCAAGGCTGATGAATGGAAACAAAGTGTCCATGGCTAAAACCCGCTGCAGATCTGCTCAGAGGGAAGGCTCCCTGGGGCTCCGGGGTCAGGCCTACACCAGACAGGGCTTTCCCCAGGGCCTACTCAGAGCCAGCACTAGTGAACTCGGCATGGGCGCTGCTCATCAGGAGACCCCATTGTCTAAGGGGAGGTCACTCGGAGGTGTGCCTTGGTGGCTGCTGTGGGAGCCAGCTTCTTCCCAGCTCCCAGAAGGCCTAGGCCATCTCCCTCAGAGCACCAAGGCTCCTGCCACTCCCTGCAGCATCGGGTCCATTCTGTTTGTGCCTGAACACCCGCTGAGCTCCACTCCTGAAGCCTGCCACTCAGGAGGGCAGCTGGGTACCTGCAACATCAAATGCAGGAGTCTGGAAGACGCTCAGAGGGCCGTGTTCCTGGCAGCTTCCCCAAGGATCATCACCCACTGTTTCTCTCCACATCCTCTCATATCTAGGGCCAGGCAGTGCTACCGTCCAGGTTGTAAGTCCCTGGAAAGACCACAGCTTGCTACATCCCAGGCCCGTATGGCCATCCTCAGCCTGAACTCCATCTGCCTTTCTCATGAGTTTCTAAGGACCTGGGACCTCCTGATAAGGGAAGTATGTTCTGAAGGGGTAACTGGACAACTGAGTTCCATGGCAGGAACCTGAGCAGGTTCCCTGGGAAAACAAGGGCCCATGCTGAGCAACTGAGAGCTGCTACTTTAGACCTGTACAGCTGGCTTGGATAGGCCCCTGCTTCTCCTTGTCACGTCCAATCATCTCCTAGGCAGACCTCCACAGTTAGTCTTTGGAATAACATAGTATGGAGCTAAGAGACCTGAAATCAAGCCCCAGACCTCACTCATGGCTCTGTGTGACCCTAGGCAAGATACTCAAACTCCAGGTTCTTCTTTTTAATTGTTATTATTTACACTTTATTTACTCATTGTGTGTGTGTGTGTGGTTTGGGTGCACACATGCATGTGAGGTATCTCTTATCTGCGGGTTCCAGGAGCCAAACTCAGGTGTCACCAGGCGGATCCACCTTTACCCACTAAGCCATCCTGAGAACCCCTCAACTGGGGGTGGCAACACAGCAAAATGCTGAATGGAAGAAACTTGACTGTTAACGAACCTTGTGAACATATACACATAATATTTACTTGCAACAAGGCCATTGAACCTCCCTAAAATTACAACCAAAAAAATGAGAAACAAGGTCTATTAGGACTGTACCCAGGAAAGTCCATGTTTTTTACTAAATATTTATAAGAAATTGTTTCTTGAGGAAGAAGTATAAACGATAAACATAACATTGCAGGAAACAGGTCCTGAACCCTTATGTCTGAAGCCATCCACAAAGGGCCTGGACCACCTTTGTGAATCCACTAAACAGTTAACCAACAGGAAGGGCCCTTTGTGCCCCTGTCCAGACTTAGAGCCCGGCACATGGAAGACTGTGCGGTCAGGGGACGAAGGACTCAGAATCGGACAGAAGGCGTTCAATTCTTGGTTGCTACTTCCTAGTTGTTTTAGTGGTATGCCTTTTGAGGCTTCCCGTGGCCAGTTCTGAAATGGGTTCGGTAACGTCTGTGAAATTATTAAATGTAATTAACATGTCTCCTCCACTGCTGCAGGTCAGCAGGTGGTCCCCAAGGAAGAGCTGCGAGTTCCTGGAGTGCCCCCTGCTCCCCAGCAGAATGCAGGCTAAGCCCTGGGTCAGGAGGACTGCGTTCGTCCCACACCTGTACCACTGAGCTAGGACACTGGGACAGAGAATGGCTCTCAGAACTGAGCAGGGGGAGGATTCCAGAGCCAGACAGTGGAGGAGCTGGCCTGGGCATAAAATGTCACGACTAAATTCCTGTCCCCAGAGTCAGCGGATCCAGTCTCAGCTCAGACTCCAACTCATTTCCCGGCTCCTCCCTGTCTCCCCAGGCCCCACCGACACACACAGCCCCCGGGGTGCCCCTGGTCAGCCCAGATAGCCTGGCTCCAGACTACTGCAGGGACCCAGGCCGGGGCTGCCCGAGACTGGGCCTCCTGCCCGCGATGCTGGCCTCAGCCCCCGGTTCCAGGCCGCTGCGCTGACTCACCCCCGCTCGCGAGTCCCGGCTGCGCAGAAGCCACCTGGTTGCCGGCAGGTGCCCCGAAACCCGGGTCATTCTCGATGCCAGCAATCTCGCTCTCCTGCTGGGCCAGAAAGGCGGCCGCCGGGTCCTCCTCTGCGGCCTCGGGGGCCCCGCTCTCCGACGACGAGAAGAAGCCGAAGTCCTCAGCCATCTTCCCCGCGTGGCTGCTGTCACCTCCCGCCCGCGCCCGCGGCCCGCACTTCCCGTCACCCGCCCGGCTCGCCTGTCACTGCGGCTGCAGCGGCGGCGGGAGGAGCCGCGGCGGGAATGTGGTGACGTCAGCGGCCGAGGGCG